AGTATTCATGAATGACATTACCAATTATCCTCTTATGATAGAAAGTATAAAAACAATCTTATCCGATGAAGAATTCGTTTGCAAAACAATTTCAACAAATTCTGTCAAAATAAATACAAATACTCCGGATGCCTACAGAAAAATAATCCACTTTCTGAAACTAAATGAAGTTGCATTTCACATATACCAACCAAAAGGAGAAAGAGCTTACAGAGTAGTCATTAAAAACTTACATCACACTGTATCAACAGTAGGCATAAAACAAAAATTAGAAAAGAAAGGATTTAAAGTTCGAAATGTTACCAATATTCGTAGCTGGAAAACAAAAGAACCGCTACCGTTATTTTTCGTGGACCAAGAACCGAACGATAACAATAAAGAAATTTTATTATTTCACCATGTAAAAAGAAAGAGCTACCACAATGGTTTCGATGCTAAAAATATGGTCACACAAAATCTTATTGCACAAACCCCTTTTACTGTGTAAAGTGCGCAGAAAATCATCCCACTAATACCTGCAGCAAACCAAGAGACATTCCACCAAAATGCACCTTATGTGACGGTTCGCATCCTGCAAATTATAAAGGATGCAGTGTATACAAGGACTTACAAAAAGCTAGAAATAAGACACAGAACAGAGCAACAACATCTCAACACGAAACAATAAGGGAGAATCTGAGCTATGCTCAAGTGACAAAAAGTAATACGCAGAAAGCCGACGACAATAATAACAAATAATAACACTGAATCAATACAATAATAACACTGAATCAATTCATACAAAAATTTGATGTCTTCTTAAATTAGCTCATGAATCAAAACAATATCCTCATAAACCTATTAACATCTCTCATTAAAAATAAAATCTCATAAAACAATGGACAGTGATTCCAGAATTTGTCTGTGAAACTCCAACAGTCTACTGCAGCGAAAACTGGAAATAGAATCCTTTTTCAACACACAAAAAATAAACATACTATTAATTTCAGAAATCCACTTTACAGAGAAAAACTATCTAAACATCTTCAGATACAAAACATACCATACTCCACACCCAAGTGGAACTGCCCGCGGAGGTACTGCAATTGTAATCATAAATGAGAGAATTTCACACTACGAATTTGACAAATACGAAAAAGATTATCTTCAGTCTAGCAGTATCAAAATAAAGGACGCTTGTGGTACAATAGTTCTGGCCGCAGTGTACTGTCCACCAAGACACCAAGTAACAAAGGAACAATTTGATAACGACTTGAACACCTTGGGACAATGATTCATAGCAGGAGGAAACTTCAATGCGAAACACCCACAGTGGGGTTCAAGGCTAACAAATCCAAAAGGTAGAGAACTGCAAAAAACAATGTTGTCTATAGGATACAATCATGTCAGTACAGGCAAACCAACCAATTGGCCATCTGACCCAGCAAAAATCCCAGATCTTTTAGATTTCTATGTAACAAAAGGTATTTCAATAAACTATCTTTAACATTAAGTTAAAAAATAGTAGAAAACGAAAAGAGCCCTTCTCTATACAATACAAAAACTGACTGGAATTCTGTTAGAACGTACATTGATAAAAATGTAGATTTGAAAATTTGACTAAAAACAGAGGAAGACATAGATAAAGCGGTACAGTCATTAACAAAAATAATCCAAACAGCCGCATATCAATTTACGCCGCAGATAAAAACAGATAAAAATACAATAAACTATCCACTATTCATACGGGAAAAAATTGCTGAAAAACGAAACATCAGGAAAAGATGGCAAAACTATAGTCACCTAGACGATAAGAAAAAACTAAATAAACTATCTAAAGAACTGAAAAAATTTCTTAGCAAAATGAACAATGTCAAATTGCAAGAGTATATACAAAGTCTGTCCCCGTACCCACAAGACGACTATTCACTGTGGAAAATTACAAAAAAAACTTAATAGGCCAGAAAAATACATCCCCCCCATTCGCAAGGAAAATAATATGTGGGCCAGGAAGGACTATGATACAGCCGAAACGTTTGCTAAACATCTTTCTGAAGTCTTCAAACCCAATGAAACTACGTCTCCTACCACAAGTACGCATGCGAACAACAATAATAATTAAGGCTGTATCTCTTCGGAACATCAGAACACTCCATCGCAACCCAGCAATCCCATCAAACATTTCAGTCCCAAAGAAATAGCGAGAGAAATAAAGCTGCTCAACAATAAAAAAGCACCAGGGTATGATTTAATAACTGCAGGATTACTAAAAGAACTTCCACAAAAAGCAATAGTTGCAATAACACAAATATTCAACGTAATTATTAGACTAACATATTTTCCAATACAATGGTAATTTGCCGAAATTATTCTCATTCAAAAACCCGATAAGCCCCCATCCGAAGTAACCTCCTATAGACCAATCTCCTTGCTGCCTATCTTATCAAAATTGTTTGAGAAACTACTCCTGAAACGATTAGAATCTATAATGAAAGAAAGAAACTTAATACCTCAACACCAATTTGGGTTTCGCAAGCACCATTCCACAATTGAACAAATACACCGTATAGCAAACGAAATTGAAACTAGTTTTGAGGAACACCGAGTTTGCTCTGCTGCCTTCCCTCCCTCATAACTATTACACCTTCTTCAGATCATACTTAAGTGAAAGATACTTTCACGTTATCCAAAATGGCAGCCTTTCCAAAATATACCCAATCTTAACTGGAGTTCCACAAGGAAGTGTACTAGGGCCCACACTATATCAGATTTTTACAGCGGACCTCCCATGTACCGAAAATGTAAAAACAGCTACGTACGCCAATGATACAGCAATTTTAGCGTTGCATAAAACCCCATCAAAAGCAGCAAAACTGCTACAGGAATCTCTGAACAAGATAGCTGAATGGGCTCAAAAATGGAAAATCATAATAAATGTAAAAAAGTCTAGTCACATCACTTTTACAACAAAACATGTCGAAGACTCGAAAATCAAAATTAATGAGGAGAGTCTTGTTACAAGGGACAGTGTAAAATATCTCGGCATGCATCTGGACAAAAGGCTTACGTGGAAAAATTACATCAAAATGAAAAGAAAACAATTAGACATAAAAATGAAAAAGCTGTATTGGATACTAGGTTATACATCACCTCTCTCTTTACAAAATAAATTGCTGCTATATAAAGTGGCGATCATTCCAATATGGACTTACGGCATTCAGCTTTGGGGCTGTGCAAAAGAAAGTAATTTAAATATTATACAGAGATTCCACAACAAGGCTTTAAGAACAATTACAGCCGCCCCATGGTATGTCAGCGGGGAGACTCTTCATAAAGATCTAGGAATAAAATACGTAAAAGAACAACCCAGAACAAGGCTTTACGAATAATTACAGCCGCCCTATGGTATGTCAGCGGGGAAACTCTTTATAAAGACCTAGGAATAAAATACGTAAAAAAACAAATTCAAAAATACGCAACAGCACACAACAACAAACTTGGAACACATCCTAGCAAACTGGCTAAAAACTTAACAAACACACACAAAATCAGAAGACTGAAGAGGACGAAACCACATGACCTAGTTGACAAACAATGAAGAATAGAGAGTGGTAACACCACTGATTGTGAGTGTTATCCACACGCATGCGGTATACTAATTATCAAATTTGCTGGTTGGCTCAATAGAGCCAATGGTAAATGTAATGTAAATAATAAAAAAAAAAATTTAACAGAAATATACAATACTGTTCGCAACAATAACGCTGTTCGTAATATGTTAAAATATAGCCTAAATTTGGCAAAACAGAACTTTGAGATTATAGAACTGTGATATTATAAAGGATTATAAACGGTGATACATGCCATAAAAATGTACATATTACCTGCAATACCTGCAAAGAGCGCAACGCATTTCTTCTTATATGCCATAAATGCAAGGGGTTTTTTAAAGTGCTGTAACTTTGCGAAAAAAAAAAATGGTAGCTGTTTGCCATATACCGGAAATTAAAGATAAAGGTTTGGACTTTATGCTCCTGTAAACAGTATCACGAAAAAAAATGTGGCAAGACCATGCATTTCGTCAAACTTTGTAATTTTCAATATAGCAAACATGACCTTGCATTTATGGTGTTATTGTGGTAGGGATGCATCAAATCTAAAATCGAACTACAAAGTATTAATGTAGAGATCTCAAGCTTTAATTTAAAAAAAAGAGAGCATAATTTCACGTTAATCTTTCACGGAGTTATCATGAATCAAATTTGGCCAATTTTTGCCCAAAATTTTTCTATACCATAATTCTTTTGAGCAGTGTATAATGAAGCAGTTGACATGTCAGTTTATACTTAAATGTAAAACATAAATACAATAAAGAAATCCAAACTTACAGTAAATTTACAAGCTGATAAAATTAAGCTGTTTTGTTCCATGTTCATTTCACATGTTTTATAAGGAATAATATCCGTATAAAATTTATTGATAGAAACAAGAACCATTAAAACATATTTATATTGATTAATTAATAATACCTTATTAAATTATTCACATCATTTAAAATACTGTACAATAAGAAGTAAAAAGTTTTAAACTTCAATAGTAATTAATCCAATTAATAACTAGTAAATTAACAATTAATATTAGCTATTAATCATTTAATGAAATGTGAGTTAAAATAAGATTACTAATTTCCCAAATCAAATGTTTTTGTTTTTTTACGTTACACTTTAAACTCATGTAACAGAATTACCTTATTTTCCTTTCTTCTTCCCATAATTTGGCGCTTTGAACATAAACGAAAATAAATAATAGAAATCTTTATCTTATAAATTAGTAAAACGAATTTTATGATTTAAAATGGTGTTTTACTAAATATTTAACTAAATAAAATCTGTCAAAAAATAAACATTGTAACAACATCGGTCATTCGCTACCTAACAATATAAAAGACCGTCCTGTGAAACGAAGAGATGCGCGCCGAGAAGCGGATAGAAATTTTGCGATCGTTGATAGCGAACTTGCGGAGCATTTGAGAAGTCGCGAGAATGATTCGTGTGTAGCAACACGAATTTCTTGATTGATCGCGGGTCTGTAGTAATGCCATAATGTATTATAAATATCGCGCTCGTGACCGCGAACGCTGCAGATTCCTGATGTATCGTTTTGGGAGAGAACGAGGTAAATACCACGACCGCTTATTAGAGTAAAGGGTAGTATCAGCCTAGCTTTTGGATGCTTTGTTCAGCACAACAGAGTACGGGAGCGCTACCTGGCCGCCCTGGGATGGAGAGAACGGCAGAATTCTACCACCGCACCGGTCGCCTACCAGGAAATAGACGGTGAAACTACTTGGACTCCTGAGGAAATCCAGAGAGAGAGAGTTTCCTGCTCCCTTCTCCTGCGGTGAAGAGAATGACCGGATCCTACGGCCGGTAGCCATCCAGGGGGAGCGATTGTTAAAATGCTTCCTGAACGCGTCAGGGTTATAGGCTGGAGTTTATCGCCGGTCGCCTATATTAGTTTATAGACTGCAGGAAAAAACGACTGCAGTTTTGCCACCAGTCGCCTATTAGATCATAAAACGTAGGCGAGAACGGCTGGATTTTGCCGCCGGTCGTCTTGCAGGGAATGGACGAAAGTACTTTCCGGACGCTTCTAGCTTAGTTTAAAGAAAAAGATAATAACTTGTAAAAAATTAACGCCCAAAAGCGTTATGTTCTATATTCTCTCGTTTATATAATTTTCTATGTCTTGTAAATGTGTCTTGAAATACTACATATAACTTAGTTAGACGAATTGAAATTTATGTTTTGTAGAACTTCATTTAAAATGAATAAATTTATTATTTATTTCTCCAGATATCTTCCCTGCGAATTTCTTGTTTTCCTATGCGAATTCTTCAACGAACTAACCTACATCTAATTTTAAGCGATAATTATTTCTGCATTAATTTTCGCAATCATGAAACATCCATTAATTAAAAAAATAATTTCGTAAGAGAGATCTTTGTACGTGTTAATTCTTGTTATTGATTTCCATAATAATATTGATGAAACTATCATAAAATTATGCTAATAAGTTGAATTTTAAAAAGAAAATGGATATGCAGTTTTTAATTGTCTCGAACAGTAAGTATACTATATGGTTCTACGCTAATGGAATTGACCAAAGATTATAGCAGAAAATGCTTGTTTCATTAATGAAGAGGTAATTTTAGGAAATTAGCTGGACAATGTAAAGCGGGCTATAAACCTGCCTATAAGAGCAATTTCAGTAGTTGGTTGGCCCTCTCTGTTCACGTTCCATCGTGGTGAACCACAATACGCCAGGTGACTGGTCTTGGCTAAGCCAATATTAATTTCATTAATTATACACCACCGTATTACGACATTAGTGCTGATCCGGTCATTTGACTATGGAATATAATTTTCCCCAGTAACCCTTGCGATAATTAATTAAGAGCAATCTCCTTCGAGTTCAGCAAACCTGTTCAAGCTAACGTAAAGACGTTTATATTCATAAACATTATTACCAATCGCTTAACGTTATATAGATAAAAAATTACAGTAATTGTCCATGTTGTTTATTTTGAATTTCCCCTGTTTTAAAAACTGTTCATTCTTGATCATTGTGCCATTTTGGTATAGCTTGGTGGTAAAAAACTGGGATATCATGTGTATTTCAATATTAAATGTTTTAATAGTGCCATTTATGTTTAATTAAAAAGTCGAAATTATCGGTAATATACAGAGTGTAATTAACCTCATTTCTGAAAATATTTAATTTAAAAAGTTTTCGGAATATTTGTATAAATACTTGTTTACGGCAATGAAGATGTATATTTTTGTAATGCAATAGTTAGGTAAAGCCTTATTCAATTTTCGATGTTATGGAACTACAGTACCTGCAGAAACATAGCGTAGTTATCAATCTAACCAATTTGCAAACAGCACGTGTTTCTAACGTCGAAATAGCAATGGCATTGATTGATGACGCTATATGTATACGAGGTCTGTCCCAAAAGTATCCGACCTTCCTTCATATTTCCCTGCTGGTGTTATCCTAAGTCATCGGGCTGGTGGCATCCTTCGAAGTAGTCCTCATTTGATTGTATAATATGCTGCCAACGACCTTTTCACTTATAGAAACAGTCTTGGAAGTCGTTTTTCGAAATAGCCTTTAGAGCGTTCGTCGTATTAGCTTCGATCGTTTCTTTATCGTCGAATCAGTGTCTTTTGAGTGGCATTTTCAATCTTGAAAGCAACCAAAAATCGCAGGGAGCTACATCAGGACTGTACGGAGATTGACGTAGCTGTATGACTTTGTGCTTCGTGAAATATTGCTGCACAAGATACGATGCATCCGCTGGAGCGTTATCGTGATGAAGAAGTCAATCACCGCTTGACCAAAACTGAGACCAAAACTAGTTTTCAGTATTCCAAAATCACATTCTAGTTCTCAGACAATCAATCAACGATCTTCGTTAGTTGCAAGTCGCACACGTTCGACATTATTAGGTGTTGTTGTCGTGAAAGGGTGCCCAGAGCGTGGATTACTATCAACAGATGTGCGGCCATCTTTGAACCGCTTATACCACTCTTTGATTTGTGTGTTGCTCATACACTCGTCCCCAAATGCATTCTTCATCATTTCGATGGTCTCCGCACAACTCTTTTCGAGTTTTAAGCAAAATTTGATGCAAATTCGTTGCTCCGATCTTTCTGTCATTTTTCACAACAGCAGAATGCGACGAACGTAAAAAACGCTTCGTAAATAAATGCAGGTTGCACATGAACTAAGGTGTCCCGATGAAAACTGCGATATCGTGGGAGTTCGTGAAGCTTTGCAGTTGATACTCATACCCGGCAAATGACGCTAAAATTGTCAGGTGCGAAGAAATTAAGGAAGGTCGGATACTTTTGGGACAGACCTCGTATATATTGTGCTGTGTATGAATTGTTGTATGTATAGGTTTCCAAACAGTAAAACGAGACATTTGTTAAATAATTAAAACGCTTGAAAGAGTTAACACTAGATATATAGACGTTTGATGACCACTTAATTTTATATTGAAAATGAAATATAAATATATATAAAAACAGGATGATACGAAAACTAGTTGAAATAGTGACTCTTTATTTCAATAAAATATATGCATTTTGACAAAAGCTTCTTAACAACCTGTGTAATTTAAAGTAAAAAATCTAGAATCTATCATTTTAACGAATTCCGTAAATCTAGTATTAAATACTAACATAAGTGATGAATTTTCAAACAAAAAACATAACGTTTCAATTCTTCTCTTCTATCTCCTTTAAAAAGGCATATTTGACTAAAATTATTCATAAGAAACACAAAAAGTCAGTATTGTATACATAGTTATTCAAGAATTGTGATCGTGATATTTGAAAAAATATATTTATTATATTCACAATTTATTTCAATTTTTTGAATAGGAACTCTTTCATAACGAAGAAACTCATGCGAGAAAGAAAGTCCAACAACTTATTATTATTTTAAATACTGTAATAATAATACCTGAATAACTGCGAATTATTAATTTTGTTCGTTTTTTGTTGATGCGTTTAGTCAAACAGAATTTTCTCATCAGCTTCTAAAAGAAGCGTGAAGATGTCAAATAATTATTACTTATAAACACTTTATTTAGCCCAGATTTATCTTACATTAAAAAAAAAATTCTCAAATGTGGATAAATATTTAAATGCTGAAATAATAATATATATTATATATATATTACCGTGAAAGACCGAAATTGGAGAATGTCGACATTCACCGGTGAATGTTGACATATACCAAATATGTCGGTGAAAGATCGAATATTTTATTACATTCTTGTACATTCGGACCTTCACCGGTGTATGTCGACAATCACAGATATGCGGACCTTCACCGGTGTATGTCGACAATCACAGATATGCTCTGGTGGAGGTCCAAAAGAGAGGAGCCGACAGAGAAGCGACTGGCTCTCTCCCGCCAAATCCTGTGATCTGCTGGGAGTCAGTCAGCTTTGTCAATCT